AAAGTGTTGATGAGCTGAGGTGTGAACATCCAGGAGAAACAGGCGGGAAAAACGTCATCTGCAGAGGATGGACAGGAGCAGCAGCCAATCAGAGGACCTCCCATAGACGAGTGTGTGATCACAGGACTTATTTAACTCAGGCATCAGGACGGTCCCATCACTGCCAAAACATTAAACACAGCAAAAGGATATTCTGCTTTATTTTCAATAGATCAGAGTAAAATAAATAAATAAATTAATAATTAATTAATAAATTGTCTAAATTAAAAGACAATGAATGAAAAGACATGTCGCTGACCTCGTGCTCTTCCTGCTGACGGCGAGGGGAAGCAGCTCATCTGCTCCTCAGGTGCACGCCTCGTCGGGATTGAAACCCCGTGGCCCGCCCAAGTCAGCCATCAGGCTGTGGGCTGCGTGTTTGTAAAGCAGGAAATGAAGACGAGCAGAAAGTTTAGCTTTAAATCTCAGTAAACCGGACCGTTGTTGAAAGGCTTCGCTGAGTGTGGACAGGACGTGTGCGTGCGTGGACGCCGTCGCCGTGACGAGCGCTGACAGCTCGGCGTGCTGCTGGTTCGCTCTCGGACTGACCTGACAAACCTGCCTTAAATGCTGCTTTGTGCACATAAACAGACGTGCGTGGATCAGTGTTGTGATCCTTTGCTGATATCTCTGTTTTTCCCGACATGTTTGTCTCCCACATTAAAGACGTTTTTCCTTCTGTCTTTAATCATCAGCTCCGTCTCTCTGTTTACTCGTCTCTGTGCTTCCTTTACTTTTATTGTGGCGTCTTTCTCTCCGTCTGCCGCTTTGCCTCTGACATCCCGACTTTTCTGTGGTCACTCCATTCCCAGAATTCCCTCTTCCTTTCCCATAATCCCCGGCTAATGATGTCCGCCGGCCACAAAACGAGGCCTGACGCCAGAGCCGAGCGAGCGAGCGAGCGAAGGCAGCGAGGAAGAGGAGGAGGGAGCGTGTGTGTCCGTCCATACGCACAGATATGTGTGTGTGGGTTTGTGATAATGAGAGACTCGATCGGAGCTCGTTAGCTGAGAATGCAGAAAGAGTTTTGCAGCGTGACCTCATGTGATCTCCTCCTATCTCCTCCTCGTCACAGCCGCTCGCTCGCAACACCACCACGCTCCTCGTGTTCCCAGAAATAATCAAAATCAGCTCTTTTCACAGTGAAAATGGTATTTCATTATCAGGGCGTTCGTGGGTTTGTCCTCAGTAACCGAAGCTTCTCACGTGGTTTGATCTGCAAACTCCGACCTGTGGATGCAGCTCGTCCTCCATGTTCTGCTGCTCCGACCTCGTCCAGCTCTTCTTCGGGAAAACGAGGAACTTCCAGAGGTCTCCTCTCCAGCTGGATGTGCCTGGAACACATCTGAAGCGTCCCCGTCAGACGATGTGGCGGAGCTCCTCGCCGTCCCTTCAGACGAAGCTCATTTACTCACTTTTATTCATCCAGAGATGAGCGTCAGACGAACCTGCACAAACGAAGGGTCCTCTGGTGTTACCAGACGGAGGCCTGTGCCAATATGGCAGAAAAAGATCGTCTGGAAAATGAGCTTCAGTGTGAATCTTTATTGGTTTCATCAACTTAAATGTCTCGTTACAGGAAAGTAAAAATGAATGAAACAGCAGGTCAGTGAGAGGCAGCTGGAGGATGAGGTCTCCTGTCTGATCTCAGCTCAGATGGATCCATGTTCATCATAAACTCTGTGAGCTGTCGGCGTGTTTCGTTCACGCCGCCTCAGTTGTCCGACGTCAGCAGTAAAAGTCCCTCCATTGAGACTCTCGGAGGCTCCGCTCTTTCCTGACACATTGTTCAGAGAGCTGCACTTTTTCAGATAGTCATCAGACATTTGGCTCGAGTTTCTGCCTAGCAACAAACATCGGCCTCGCCAAATAAAAACAAAGCTTCTCAGAGACGTTTTCAGTCTCATGCAAGTTTGTTTTACTGCTCGTGTTATTTTTAAACTGCGCGGTGGGGAAATAACCAGATTCAGCTGCGCCGAGGTCATCAAAGCTGCTCAATGCACGGGCAGGATGGAGACTTCCAGTTCAACCTAAATCCACTTTTCTAGGGTAGCTTTGCATGATTCACAATTTGATCCACTTTGACCGGACTCACTGTCAGATGCTCTTGTGTTTCTTCGCTGTTGGCTGTCAGATTAAAACGCCTCACTCTGTTCAGTGTCACAGCGAACAACAAGTTTCCTGTTTTGCAACAAATTCCTTCTTCCCCAAATTTTCCTCATAATTCATTTTGGTTTGGAGGCCGGCAGCTTTCAGGCACCCATGGGCCTGAAAACTTGCA